CACCTAGGCGTATCGAATATGCGCGTTTGCGCGTTTGTCAATTCGCGGTAAAAAACACGCGGCAAACGTGCATTTCCGAGGGCTACCTGGCTGTATCCCAATGGATACGCGCGGCAATTACGCCCCAAAGAAGCTCCTGTACTTTTTTGGGCGTAGGGCGTTTTGCAGTGCGTTCCTACGCGCTGTAAAACGCCCAGGTGGGAACCATGCCCATAGGCAATTATTGGTTTTCACATGTTGAGCGTTTTACAGAGCGTAGGAATGCGCTGTAAAACGCCCAGGTGTGAACCAGGCCTAAGTAATTTAATGGTAATTTAATGGTAGCCCCACCAGCAAACTTTTTCCATGGTAAGGGGGCATGCACATACATGGAACAACAAAGATGTATTTCAAAGGACGTTCTAGTTTATCTGTCTCTTATACTGCCCATTAGCTAAACCTACTTTTTAATTTTGATTTGCACATTTCTATTAACTGGTAGGAAATGCAAACCTAATGCCACAGAAAAGCAGATGTCTTAATGAGAACAACAGTAGGCATTACTCCCCTAGGGGAACGAGGCCACGTATGGTCACTCTCACTCCTAATATCCCAAAACAGCACACAGCTATGCAGTCTTCTCTGCAGTGAATACAATGAATCCAGACACTAGCAATTCTTCTTAGTTTCATATAAACAAACAGAAATAGCTCAAATCATTATTGACTCATTAAACATAAGTGGATGGTAAGTGCAAGTGAACAAAACAAACTGACAATGATTTCCTCCTTTTGACCATTACTGTTGGAGATGCACATTGTATTTTATTATGTATTTCAACCATAAAGCATCATTCACATGCAGATGACCAGCACGTTGTGTGGTAAAGGGAGAGGCATCATTTTAAACTCTGATCTCTAAAAGGCTACAGCAAAACGACTGACAATATATCCAACTGGAAAAATAATTTAGGTGTGCTACACCTGGTGAGAATATATAGTCTAATATGGGGGATTTTGATAAGACATACATGACAAATATCATTATTAGTTTACAGGATTTATATAGTGCCAACAGTTTGTGTAGTAATTTACAATATAAAGAAGACATTACAGATGCTATACAAAACAAGACAAGATGGTAAGGAGGACCCTGCCCGTGAGAGCTTACAATCTAAAAGATATAGATAACATATACACCAACCACCCCAAAGAAAACTCTGATGCGAGATGAAACAAATGACTGCCTATAGGGCACGCTGTCCAACGACCAGTGGAAAACCTTAATTCTGTGTCTTGGTGAAAGGAGGTTCTTTCGTGTCAGATTGTTTCCTAATAAACTTCTAAAAACCAACAAGATTCAACAGCTTCAAAGAATCCATATAAAGAGTGATCATGTCAGCAGCTTAAGTTATTTAGGGCTAAAAATACAAAGGTAATTTTAATCTCATGCGCAATTATCCACTTGTTGAAAATGACCTCATTTGCACCACACTTACTTCAACGTGCTGCAAGTAAGGTAATTACTGACAAGAGATTAATGCAGACCTGTCATAAACAGCATACAATGCAAACATGCAGAAACAGAAGGTACTCTTAGTAGAAGCCATGTGTCAACTTTTTTTTATGATTAGGGCATTCAGAAATATAGGGTAGATGGAGTTATATTTAAAACTTGACCCTTCAGTCATGGTCAGTCCTGCACCTCACCTAGAGAGCATTTCAACTGGTCAACAAAAGCCACCCATCACTTTAAAGGACCATCAAGTATGCTCAGGAGGTGTTAATGCCAGGCATGATTTCTACATGAAAAGTAAAGATCTCCATGAGAGTTTCACCACCTGTATTTCCAGATCTACTGACTGTTTTAATGGGAACTTCACATAAGATACATTTCTATAGACCAAGTTTCTGACGAGTTTACTTTACACCACCCAGTAGCATGAGATTAAATCAGCCCATCATGGTAGAAAAAAGCGGGCTGCTTCGGCTGACCTCCTACTAAGAATACTAATTGCCTGGGTGATTCACTGATCTGAAAAAAGAATAGATTTGCTTCATGCTTGTTTTTGGGTCAGTGTCTAAAGCATTGAAGCAAGGCACAGTCAGGAAACTAGCATTTTAGAAAGATGGCAACAGCAGCACCCTATTTCTCTTGTGACAGGTTCACTTTAAAACGGCCTGAATACCGTTAGTTTAGCTCTTTAAACCTAATGTGCCAGTATCTGGCCCTTGTTCAGAATTTAACACTCATGATGGTCAAATTATATTGGATTCACCACATTTGCTACTGGGTAGTGTGGAAGGAAAATCAGTCATATGATATATAATGTAAGCTGCCATTCTATGGAGATTTTATTGTGCCGCTGTAGTGGCTGTATTGGGGTTAAATTTGCTAAAAATCCTATCAGGCTAACTGGTCTAAAGGGCCACCTAGGTGTCTACTAATAAGCTTTTGACTATATTACTAGCTAAAAACCGAACTGCGAAGGTATTAAAAAAATCGGGATGTTGTGGTTTACCTAAGCATGACCCCACCTATAAGTGAAATAATTTCTCATCTGATCTGACACTTGATAGAAAACCACAACCAAACTGTTTGGTTTCTCTGCCTGCTTGTGAGAAAGCCTCTCAGTTGTGATGTAAAAAAAGAAAAAAAGAAATTATACTAAGCCACTGTCACATGGCTTTTTCAAACCAAATGCAGACCAGATCTGCATGAGTTTCTGCACGTGCAGTGCAGTGTGTTTTGCCTCGTTTTTGCCACATTTTTGACACGTTGCGGGCAGTTTTTTTAGTCTAAAATGGGCTTTTAGTGCATCCCAGGGCGTTTGCGTGCGTTTTTGAAAACGCAGCAGAAAAAAATAGGGCATGCTGCAGTTTTTCTACATGCTCTGGAACTGAACGCTGTGGTGTGAACTGGAGCCCAAAATACCATTGGAATACATTGGACGCAGTTTTGATCCGTTCTGTAACTGTTCTGCACCTGCTCTGCGCTTGGTGTGAATTAGCCCACAAATTTCCTTTTATGCTTTTTGCTAATCACAACTTTTGTAAAGTTAAAAGAAGGAAAAAAAAAAGTAGCCATCATTTTCATTAAAAGAAAAGCACTCAAAAGAAAGAAAAGAATTTCAAAGGAGCAGTGTGGTTCTTAAGCAAACTGGGGATAAAAAAATATTAATCCTTGCAGCGGGTCTATCCCTGCACTGCAAGGGTTAAGTGCTTGTTTATTTCTAGGTTAAAAAAAAAAGTTATACTTACTTGATCCTCGGAGCCGGCCAGCACCATAGGCCGGTCCCTGCAGCCTCTCTCCCCCTTCGCTGCAGTGGTTTAAGAATCCTCAAGTCATCACATGATGTGAGGACACCGAGGGACATATCATCGCTGCAGCGAAGAAGGAGACAGGCTGGAGGAAGCGCTGTCACAGCCAGCCGGATCCCAAGTTTTGGGTCAGTAAAACTTTTTTTTGTTAACCTGGACACAAACGAACACTTAACCCTTGCAGTGCAAGGAAAGACCAACTGCAAGGGTTAAGATTTGTTTCCTCCCAGAGTTCTGCTTTAAAGTGCACTTAAACCCAAGAACAAAAATGTAATATATCACAGCTTGTCAATCCTCAGATGTGGTGGCTGCATTAGTCTTCCTTCGTTTTCACCTATTGATCCTTCCATTAACAAACTTCCTGCTCCAGGGTGACATTTACTGTAATGCATCTTTCGAGCACAGGGCTACATAACACCCCCCTCCCTTCCTTTTCTTATTAGATAAAGGGGATGAGTAGTTCTGTAGTTCTTGAAGACAGCTAGGAATAATGTAACCGATAAGAGTGCAGCATGGGAAAAAGAACACAGGACATTTAGCTCAGGGGGACTCCTGGCAGGATCAACAGATATGTTTTGCACTTATAGAACAGATGTAACAAAACTGTTTCAATGGTGTGTTTTAAAGACCAAAAGGGAGCAAACAAGAGAAGTTCATCATCAGGATTTACATGCACTTAAAGCACTACATAGATGCTAGAAAGTTGTTTCACAAGTGCCAGTGGATTAGTCGTAGTGCCAAGCTGGGTGAATCAATGCACTGTCTTTGGCACATGTATGAATTTCAGATACACCGTGTACAAAGGATGTCTAGCTTGATGAGGACCATTGCATCTAACACCGCTCTCGTAGACTAGAAGTACAGGGTTTAGCTTCCGACCGCCACATTACAATACCGATCCAAAAATTGAAGCACAACCAAAATCTGTTCTTTTTTTCTTTTAAATGCATGCTCAACTCTCAAGATCTTTGAGAAGCAACAAGCCGCCTTGAGTTTGCATTCAAGTCACTGTGGGCCTTGCTTTACAAAGATTTTCCACTGGGAAAGAATGAAAGCTTTGTTGCGCTAAAAAAAAAGACGTTGCTGTCCAGGGAGAGGTTTTGCCAGAAGGCAAATCACATAGACATGGGCAAAAAAAAAAAATTCAGTTTCTCTCACACAAGGCAGCTCCCAAAGACAGATCACCCACACATCCTGAACAAAATGAATGTCAACTTGGAACTACAGAATCTACTGCTTGATAAGAAGAGCTATCTGCATGTTCCAAGTCATGCTGCTCTAGTCTGATAGGCAGATGCCCTGATCAGCTTCTAGTGACTCAGTGGCATCCAGGTCATGGGTGGACTTTGCCATGTCATCTACTACCTTCTACTGATAACAGCCAGCATCTGGTGGCATAACACAGATGAATTGCATTTGGAGAACAGATAAAAGCCGCATTGGTTATCATGGTCAGCACCCCTTGGCATCACAGCATGTACCCAGCATGGGGCCAAGATCAGAGATGCTGGAAGTGATCTGATCGATCTGCTGGTCCATGTGGCTCAGCAGCAATACAGCAATGACACTGACCACTCAGCATGGGATAACAGAAAACTTTGTGCGATGAGGATGTTCCAGACACCGGGCACTCGATGCCATCTATGAGATCGAAGGCTATGAATGCATTCCATTGAGAAGAGCCAGCCGGCTTTTACTCACCGATCTTGATCCTCACGCTCTGGAAGACCCGGATCCCCTCCTCCTCCACCGCCATGGTGAGCGCTACTGTAGCAGGGTATAGCTGTGCACGGCAAGGGTCTGCCCCAGTCACTGTACTGCTGTTCCGGCCAGAGCAGCTCTGAGCCCGAGCGTCATGTGAGCGAGCACATCCCCGGCATCCCTATAGACGTGCACGCTCCTCCCTGCCGGCCGCTGGGTGGTGCAGACTTCAACTGTGCGATGTGCTCAGCGCAGATTTCACTATAGAAGACCTCATGATGGAACTGTCAGCTTCTCAGCCTTCTCATAACGTAATACCAGAGCTAAATCCCAGCTTCAGACAAAAAAAAATACAAAAATGGAATAAAATGTTACATAGTTAGGTTGAAAAAAGACAGATGTCCATGAGTACAACCTATGATGGCATTGCAGATTTTTATGTCGCAAGGTATTTGAATCCCCCTAGACCTAATGATCATAATAGACCTAATAACCCTTCGGTGGGGGGCACTGCAAGGGTTGTTTGCGTCTGGAGTCGGACTTTAAACCTGGTCTTCATAGAACTGCTAGAACTAACCATTACAGAAAAAGATAAGGATTTTTTTATTGTCATCCCAAAACATAGTACAGTAAATTTCCAGTTATTTGGCACCCACTGGGATCGGTAGATGCCGGATAACTGTAGTTTCTGGTTGCTTGAGAGTTAATAGTAACTCTCAAACAACACCCGCAGTGTCCCATTCTCTCTCAGGTACACTCTGGTTAAATCGGTCTCAGGTCTGCTCATTGGGTGGGAGCAATAGCCAGCCTGCTATTGACTATTTCAAATTGCAATAGCCAATAGCAGGCTGGCTATTGCACCTGCCCACAGCCTGCTGTCAATGAGCAGAGGAGCAGACCTGAGAGAGAAAGTCAGCCTGCTATTGGCTATTGCAATTTGAAATCGCCAATAGCAGGCTGGCTATTGCTCCCCGTTGTTTAAATTCTGTCGATGAACGTGGAATCTAACCAACGGCCAGCTGCAAGATGTAATCAGAATTTCGTTAGCAACTAAATGAATTTAGTTGCTAATTAAACTTTTTAGTGTGCATATGCCTATCAAGCACCCGCCAAAAATTCGGGGAAATATTATGTCCTCAATTTTTTTTGCAGGTTGCTTGAGAGTGCCGGCTGCTTGAGTTTGGGGAGTTTACTGTACATGAAACTCTGTACACTGGCCCCAATAACAATAATAAGACACACGATAAAACAAAAATAACAAGCACACCTTACCCTCCAATTAATAACAGTATATAATAATAATAATAAAAATAAGAAGAAGAAGAAGAAAAATAATATTTACCCATAAAAACAACAAATATACAGTAAGAAAACTACAATGTATCAACAGATTACAATATATACAGCAAATGTCTTAAAACTCAATAATAAATAGTGACATTGCAAATCATCTAATACTATTAGAATTTATCAAATGCACCATTGCTTGGAAAAAACTATCCCTTGCCCTGTTCATATTCTTGTGTTGCAAGAACGTGTTACTGCATGACAGCACACACTATTTGTGATTCTGCTATGCAGTGCCATTCATTCTGATTGGCACCCCAACACACCTTGCTGATAAAGGTGTGCTGCACCACAGCGCACTGGACGGCAATCCACCAATTTGTGTTGCAATGTGATGCGCTGCTGAAAAAGGTGTTGGTCTGATTTCTGGGCCGTTGAGGTGCATTGCCAACCCATTGATTTGGAATGGGCTGCCTAATGCAGTGCACAATAATGCACAGCTTTAACTTGATGGCATTACTGCATCACATTCCAGCGGTTAGGTGTGAACTACTATTAAAGTGACATATCTGTAAAAAAATAAGTCAAGGCAACTGGACTTGCTATATTTTTCTTGAAGACGTTTCACTGGTCATCCATCTTCAAGAAAAATGCAGCAAGTCCAGTTGCCTTGACTTATTTTTTACAGATATACCATGACCTGGATGAATGAGAACCTTCACAGACATATTAAAGTGGCAGTAAAAGCAAATCCCCCAATGCTAGTGTAAGGACTTACCTTAAATTATGCCTCTTGATCCGATCATCTTCTTCTTACCCGTAGTTTTCAGGAGTCCCTCCAACACTATTGTCGGTCTCTGATCCAGCGCTGACTCCACTCTCTTCCTGGCACTCCCTGTCCCACGGAGTCTGTGCGGGTGCAAGCTGCCTCCGTTGACTTACCTTGTGTCTCGCCTCGTCTCCCGGCCGAAGATCTGAACTGTGCATGCGCCCCCCCCAATCTTTGGACGGGAGTGCGCGGCGGAGACACAGGTAAGTTTTACCCTTTTGTACCCTTTTTTTTTCCATGTTTTTGCATAGATCTACTGCTCGCTAGCAGTAGATGTATGGAAAAATATGTGAGGGTTAAATAATCCTTTAAGTCTTCAACCATTGCTTAGTCCCGGGGAGCTGTCAGTGACAGCCCATTCACTGTACTGGGGGCTTACTCTCAGCAGAGAACATCACTGCTATCCATAAGCATATCTGTGGCAACATGGCATAAAGCCCACCGCCCTGCTGCCCACTATACAGTATTTGTACGGCCAGTGTTAAGAAGTGTATACATATGTGTTGTTTGTTTGTAAAGCAGTGCTATGGCCACGGTTAGGCCATACAGCTGCTTTATAGCTAGGCTCCATGTCTGTATAATATATAATAATATATAATAATGTAACTTATGTAAGACTTTCTGTAAATTTGGTTTCCTCAAATAGGTTGCAAGCAGCCCACCTTCACAGCATTCTACATTAAAGGGTTAATAAAACCTTGCATGTTTTTGCATATATCTACTGCTAGCAAGCAGTAGATATATGCAAAATGATTAAAAAAAAAAAAAAACTTTTTCAAAGGGTTAATACTTACCTGTCTCTCGGCTGCATGCTCCCGTCCGAACATCTGAAAATTTCTCGGGCGGCTGCAAAGGATCTTGGGGCGGGCGCATGCGCAGTTCAGATGTTCAGCCGGGAGACAAGTATAGACACAAGGTAAGTATATGGAGCAGCGTGCACCCGCACAGACACTGTGAGACATGAGAAAAGAGGAGGACAGAGGAGTCAGTGCTGGATCGGAGACCCGCACCAGAGCTAGAGGGACAGCTAAAAACTACAGGAAAGAAGATGGGATTAAGAGGCATCATTTAAGGTACCTTGTTTCCCCGAAAATAAGACCGACCCCGAAAATAAGACCTAGTTGTGACCATTCTCAGGGCCGGTGGTGGCATAAGGGGGAACTTGAAGAGCTGCAGGAGAGAATCAGCGGTGCTAATGAAGCCAGCGCTAGAGGAAGCGAGGCGGCAGCACAGGGAGCAGAGCCGCATAAGCCGATGCCTCCTCTATAGCGCCGGCTCCTGTCACCGGCGGAGTGATACCAAATGCACTCCGCCTGTGAGGAATTGATAGTGAAATTGTGTTTCGCTCATTCTGGCCAGCAATTGGTTACCAAATTGCTCTTGGAAAGGTACGGCACCGCCGATTGCCCTGATCACCCTATTCTTAACTTTGCCATTTTGGCTGATTTAAATTTGGATTTGCGTTAACTTTGGATTGTTATACATTAAAAAAATAAGACCCGCCCCGAAAATAAGACCTTGTGCGTTTTTTTGCGTCAAAAAAAATATAAGACAGTGTCTTATTTTCGGGGAAACACGGTAAGTCCTTACTTTAGCACTGTGGGGGGGACTTTTGGCCTTAATGTCACTTTAACCCTTTTTTACAAAAATTAAGCTTAGGAAATCACCCAAGTATGTTTGTTGCTATGTGTGTCCATCTATCTGTCCATCAGTATCAGTTTGTTTCCATCTTTATTTTAATTGTGTCCATATATTTAATTGTTTGTCATTTTTAAGCATCATTATGAATACTCAGTTGCTGAACATCAAAGTAACACAAGCCCATTATTACAGTAAAATTCAAGTGGGGAATCCCAGGAATCCACAACAAATTGTGGGTGAATTGCACACATTACAAAAAAATTATGTTAAAGCTGCCCATACAGTTTAGACCTTAATATGTTAGAAGTTATTGTGGTCATCTGCTTCCTTTTGAGTGTTTCTTATATTTCTTTCTTCATTTGAAGTTTGGGTTTGACAGATCGGGTCCCTCTCTAATTTATGTATGAAAGCTACTGTTGTAACCTCATTCACACTTGTTGTAGGCCTCATTCACACTTGTTGTAGGCCTCATTCACACTTGAGCTGTGCGTCTTTTGTGTTTATTTTCACAGGCCTTTTTGCACGCATAGGCTTGTGCTTTTTTTTTTATTATTTAGTCAATGAAGCTAGTTCCTGGGCAAGAAAACTTGAGAAAAATGCATGTTTTGTGTGTTTTTCAGGGGCTCCCATTGAAGTCTATTCCAGTCAAAATGCTCATGTACTTTTTTTGAGCTACAAGTGTTTTGCTGCAAGTAACAAAATGCTCAGATATGAACAACGGCCGTTAGAAATATTCCTCCTGTCGAGCGATGTAGCTTTTAGGCATTGGAGCTACAAAATGCTCAGGTGTGAATGGGGTCTCATAAGTTACCAAAATGAATGTGTAAATTATATATTAAAAAAGTTACCCCCTTATCAACCCTTAGTGAACTTTTATTAGTTTTTATCAATTGTGCATAATCATTTTTCATTGTGATGATAAAGTTATAAGACTTTGGATCCTCAGCACTTCCTGGTAACAAGCAGCCTAGGTAGCATTCCTTTGCCCTCCAGGTGCATTTTGGTTGATCAATAAATGTGTGCCAATAAGTTGAATTATAAAGGTAGTGGAAGCAAAGCTTGTAGCTGTCTAAAGTTGAGTATATACTATTCGATTTTTTATAACAGATTCATCTATCCATGCTAAACAGCTATTGGGCTATTGTACGTAACAGTCGGCTCCTCTGGCTATCAAAATACCTGAACAGCCTCTTTGGCCAACATTTTTCAGCCCGGTTCCTTCAATTATTCTATCAAAGAATGTTGGGCGAGAGCTGGCAGATAGGGCTGCGCCCTAAGCAAATTTTACCCAGTTCATCAAGAATCGGACAAAATCCACTCTGTGTATACCCAGCTTTAGAGCAGTACTAGGTATTTTGTTTTAAAGCCTATTTTCATATGTTTAT